TTCGAAACGAAGAAGGATAGGAGGCAAATTACATTCTACTTGCATTGAGATAATTGGAGAAGTATACATAGCACCTAAAATAAGTCTTAAATTCATATTTTGAATTTTTTCGAGTTTTTCTACTAATTTATATTCTGAGGCATAACAAAAGAAAGCGTAATCAAAATTACTTCTAACAAGAGATTTGTAAAGTAAAAGGATAATTTTAGGATCAGCTCCCCAGTTACGACCAATTACAGATCTTATTATATTAGTGGCTCTTAAAGCACGATCTACTAAGCAATCAACGTATAGATCCCATTTTAAATTTTGATGAAAAATTACCCCCAGAAATTTAACGCTACAGTCTGTTGGAAGAGTTTGATTATTATATATAATATTCATTAATGGAACATATTTATGAACTTGATGAAAAACAACTACTTTACTTTTGGTTAAACTAATATCGAGGGAAAGAAGAGAAAAATATTTCTCAAGTCTTTTTAATGACTCATTTAACACTAATTGCATATCAATAATATTCTTTCCTTTTATATAAATTAATAAATCATCGGCAAATTGCAAGTTGTTCACACTGTTTCCTAAAATTGAATTAAGTTTATAGATATATAAAATATATAGTAGCGGGCTTAGAATACCACCTTGACATACTCCTTTAGAGCTTAACCTAGGTCCTATTAATTTACTATTTACTTTAACATACACTTCTCTATTACTAAGAAAATTATAAATCCATTCGATAAGTTTCATTGGAAGAAATGAGGATAAAATCGAAGATAGAACTGTTAAATTTACATTGTTAAAAGCTCCTACGACATCTAAAAAAACAGATAGAACATATTCATCGTTATTCAAAGCAGTACTAAGGTCGACATAGAAGTTCGCTAAACTTTCGCGCGCTGAATATCCACGGCGAAAACCAAATTGATTCGATGGTAATATACTATTACTTTCAATAAAGAACTCTAAACGCTGTTTAATTAATTGTTCGAATAATTTGCCTGCACAGGACGTCAATGTTATAGGTCTATAGGAGTCGAAATTTGTAGGATCTTTACCGGGTTTAATTACTGGAATCAAACAATCCATTTTCCATTCTGGTGGGATAATACAGTCCTTCCATAAATCGTTAAAAATTTGTAAGAGTTTAGTAAGGTTTATTTTATTCAGCAATCGAAACATATTGTATGTTAAGCGATCTAGGCCACTAGCTGTATCTTTTCTAGATTTTACTGCACTGGATATTTCATCAATTGAGAATGGGTCAGTGAGAAATTTTGGACATGAATTAACAGAATTAAACTGTTTGTCATCAAAAGGTGAGTGTACAAAATCAGGAGTATATTTGCGTAAAAAATCATTGACCCATGATATATCTTTAAAATGATTTTGACGATGTTTTGAATTTAGTTTTCTCATATTTTGCCAAACAGTGGAAATTGGTGTTAATCTATTAAATTTGGAACAAAATTCCTGCCACCCCTGTTGTCTTACTTGCTTAATTACTAACTTTTTAACAGCTTGAACTCTTTTAAAATTTATGTAATTATCGAGAGTTGGATTTTGTTTAAACCTAAGGTAAGCCGCTTTACTATCATTGACAGCTGTCGCACACCTGTTATTCCACCAAGGTACTGCAATATGTTTGTGCCTCTTTGAAGTATTTGCACCGCTATTTGATAAGTTCCTACGTGGAACGGAACGTTCCACAGCTGTCAAAATAATTTTACAGAACCTATTGTAATTGTTTAAGGGTTCATTGACATCATACTCGAAATCCAAAAGTAATTGATTAACAGTTTCAGAATAAAGATCCCAATTAACGAGACGTAGGTTTATACGATTTAACAAAAGTTTATTAACTTCATCTATAGGAGCATGTTGTTCACCTGACGGAGTTGATGAAGAGTTCTTTGTGTTTATTTTAGTAAAAGTCGGCAGGTGATAACTTCCTAACGGATCATCATGAACCGACCACTCGCATTTTAATGATATGGATGGGGATACCATAGTTAAATCAAGGCCATTGGGTCTCCAAATATGAGAGCCAACAGTAGTAACTTGCTTATCATTTAATAGTACCAAATTACATTCATCTAAACAATCAAGAATGTCTTTACCTCTTGTATTAGTGGAGGTACAACCCCACATAGTATGATGTGCATTTAAATCTCCAGATATGATAGTGGGTTTAGGAAGAGACTCCAAAAAGAACTTAAATTTGGCTTTAGTAAAACTAGGTGTACTATTGGTAGGACAGTAAATACTGGCAACTGAATACCAAGAATTATTAACTTCAATACTAATAGCTATAGTTTGCAAAGAATTGTCGAAAAAAGAGTGAAGTTTTTTATATCTAATACTATTATGTATAATAATCGCTACTCCATTGTGGTTATTACCACAATCATTTCGTTCTATACAATAATCTTTAATTTTTAATTTGTAATGTGGTTTTAGCCAAGTTTCTGAGATGAGAGCAATGTGAATATGATGTTCATTTAAAAATTGTGTAAAAATATGTCGATTGCTCAGTAGGCTCTGAGCGTTCCACTGTATGATAGTTAATTGGTCTCGATTGAATTTTGTGAAATAGGTCTATTACCAAAAGTATCATATAACACATTCAAAACACTTTTAGTGTTAATAGATGTGTTCTTTGTGTTATGTAGTGAAATAAGTTTGATTATGCTTTCTATTAAAAGTGATAAACTCTTGTTATCAGAATTTAGAATTGAAATTAGGTCTACATTTTTTTTAGGTTTGTTACCCAGTTTAGGAAATATTTCAGTGCTAAGTATATCTCCAAAAGAAGCAGGTCTGAATTTAGATCTATTTTCAGCAATTTTCTTTTGTTTAACAGGGCATTGCGGTGATACACTTGTGTGATTTCCATTGCAGTGTACACAAATAGCGTTTTCCATTCCAGTTGTACAAGTTTTATAATTATGCTCACCTTTGCAGATGCTGCAACGCTCAGAATTCTTACAGAATTTAGCTAAATGTCCATACCTCAAGCACCGGTAGCATTGTTTAACTGGTGGTATATATGGAGTGACATTGTGGCGCCAACCTCCAATATCCAGATATTCAGGTAATACAGATGCAGCAAAAGTAATTGTCACGGTTAGAGTTGGCTGTAACACATATCCATGAGTCAAGGTATTTTTTCTTAAAATTCTTTTAATAGCAATAATTTTCTTAGAACTCGATATCATAGTATATATTTTTTTATTAGATATATTTGTAGGTACATTTCTAATAACGCCTGTAACTTCTGTTGAAGAAGCAGGAATACTGGCCTTAAAATGGTAGTCATTTAAAAAAGTTTTATTATTTAAAAAAGCATTGGCTAAGTCTGGCTTTTGAAAGTATACTCCGATTTTGAATTTATTTATAGATCTAAGATAAATTACCCCTTTATTAAATCGTTTTAAACAGGAGGAGAGTGAGAGCAAGTCTCTGGATCCAATGGTTTTCTGACTATCTGAGGATTCTACAAAGACAACAAATTCTGTCCCAGGGGATTCCTCGGGATATCTTCTAATATAATCTGTGACGTAGTAAGGTTTATACTTATCGGCCTTATCAATTTCAGATTCTGAGTCAGTAGAAGTATCTTCCGAATATATATCCTTGTCATTACAAGGTTCATGGTCTACATCACCTGAATCGTCATCTTTTTTTTTCCTTTTTCTACAACTGCGCTTCCCCATGAATGCTAATTATATTACTGTCGCTGAATTTAATGAAAATATAATATTTTATTCAATAATAAGAATTGATAGAGATAGTTTTAATAAATTAATAAAAAAAATTTAAAAAACCCGCTTGTTCTTATTCGAGTTTCCCGCCTTTTTCCTTAGTGCGTACGTTTCTAATGTCTTTTTTTTTTTATAAATTTATACGGTTTGGGTACAAAGTTATTCATGTGCTGCGACATAGAATGTGCATATTACTTTCTCGTGGGGGTCGGAAGAGGTGACTAAGGGAACTTAATGTCCAAGGAATGAGCTATAGCGTCTTAAAATGACACTAGAAGCTTAACTGCGGTTGCCAACGGTGGTAAATATTGGTAAAACCCAACTTATTGGGAAAGGTCTATGTTTAATAGTGGATAGTTAACAGATAATATGATGGTATGATGATGATGATTATATAAATTGATGATCTATGACGAACTCCACCGACGTCATCATTGTTTAAAACAATAGATAATACTTATAACACATTATTGGATACACGAAAAAAAATTGCAGGTACATAGTTAAGTTAATTTTTTTTTATACCACCGTGGTGGCAATCAAGCATTCGGCCCACCTGATGGTAAGTGGTTACCGTAGCCTGTGAACGCTTGCAATACTAGTGGTATTAGGCGCGCGTTGCCGACCCTAGAGAAACCTCTTTACCCCTCTTTTGAAGAACCCCATGCTGTAGTCTCTTGGGAAAGTGTATCTAATAATAGTGTATTTAAAAATATGTGTCAATAACGCGAAAGTTTAAAATTAATTACTTACTATACTTATAATGTTGAATTACTAGGTCACTCAGAAAGTTTTTATGTATATGAGACTGGCCAGTTATAATTTATTTAAAAATATGAGTATTTATAAGTAAAAATAGGTACGTTCTAAATTCAAAACTCCCTCCATATTTTTTGCTAGCTAATTAAAATTACCGTGTCTCATTCAAAAATGGATTTGCGTCGAGAACATTTTCGCGCTATGATTTATTACGATTTTAAGTGTCGCCTGAAATCGGACGAATCGTACGATAGACTTCGAATGGGATTCATTCCTGTAAACGAGGTGTCTGCGGCGGACAGGAAAAAGTGTTTCGTAAACTGGTTCAGACGCATGAAACATTGTATAGAGGCTGGTGGAGAGTACTTTGAAAAGATGTAATAAAAATATATTTACATATAGAACATTTTTTTGTAGTGTCGCAAAACTTTCTGAGTGTCTCACGTAAATTTATAATAAATTACAGATAATACTCACAACGTCGATGAGTTGACTGAGCCTAAGCCCCATTTTGACGGTGAGTCGGTCTGAGTTGTTGCCCACGGGCCGGATCAGGCGATTGTAGTTGGATAACAGGTCGTCGTACAACCGCTTTGCATCAGGGTTGGCGACGCTCAAGCGGCCCCACACGCACAGGAGTCCGACCACCAGCGCCAACACCATCTTAGGCTAACACCACCCCTGTGGACAAAGACAGTACAAAGTTAGAGCAAGATTTAATATTTTTGTAATAACACCTGAGTCCTCAGGAATGGCAACGCATGGGGGTATCATGAGCGAAAGAGTATACTCTGTTATGTCCATGGTACTGCTCATGTCTATAGGCGACGGTTACCACTTTCCATCAGGTGGACCGTTAGCTTGTTTGCCATTCTAAGTTGAATAAAAAAAAAGCTCAGCGATAGATTCATAAAAAACGACATTTCAAAAATGCTTTCAATTAAGTTTATATTAATTTATTTTATTTATTTTTATTTTATCGTCAAGTACATTGCCATTCCATTTGTATCAAAAAAGTCTGAAGTGATCATTAATAACAATATTTTGGTAGGTGTACAATTCCTTGGTTGAAAAATTTTATTTGACTTTTTTCCTTATTTTATAAGCGCCAGGAAATATTTTTAAATAAATAAATAACAATAAAAATTAATAAAAATTAATAAAAATTAATATACTATATATAAATATAATACACATATATTGAACGTTCAAGATTCATATTGGTTGTAATCGACCGAATACTTGAAGGCACAAAGCTTTCTGTGGTAAGTACGCGTGTATTCATAAGCTTAAAAATTCGTATAGTGGCTGTGATTGAATTCCGTACGTTATTTTGATTCCTTTTATGCTTTCATGAAATATATTGAAAATTACACACAAATAAGTACGAGTAATACATGTCAGAAACATAACACCGTCTTTCAAAAAAAAAAAACGTTCACGCTCACTTTTTTACTTTATCCGAGCAGTAAGTGCTTTATATTATTCTCAATTTGATGTATAATATAGTATATATCATATATTTGTAAGTATATTTGTTATTTATATATGTTTATTCGTTTATATATGTAATTTTAGTATATATGTATATCAATAATTAGTAGTACCGCATTCGAGTATTCTGACACTGCCCTATGGTTGACTGGGAGAGAATGCTTTTATCATTAAGTCCGTCATGTACACATATTTGTACTAATTAATAAATAAATATATAAAATGTTTACGCTGTTATTCAGATATCAACTGATACGTTGTATATAATTATTATATTTAAAATAAAAGTAAATGTATAGACTACTGACTTCTAGATACAATATTTTTTTATATTGTCAATTACTGTATCATTGCTTATTGTTAATTGGTTTTAATGATTTCTTTTATAAGAGTTATTCCTGTACTATTTTTTATATTCATTTTATAAAGATTATGTTCATAAATGAGAAATAATGAAGGTAAAGGTGAACTTTAATATATATATATATATATATATATATATATAAACCTAGATAGTTTCTTCCCTAAGTTGACTAGTTTTAGCATTAAGTCTGCCTTAGACAGATACATGTATTAATAAATAAATAATAAAGCAAAGATTGAAAGTACAATGTAATGTATCCATATAAATCAATCTTCTGAAACTAAGACAAAAGTAGAAAAAAAAATATAACAACAATATAACAAAACAGAGATGGTTCTAGAATAATAATTGTTATGATGTCGTGATGCCTGCAAAAACGTTAGATATAAATATACATATATATTTAATTTACTGAGCGTGAACAGAAAGCATTTATTCTCGCAAAATCTTCTGAACACGTCCCTGTAACTTCATCCAATTATCTTATTATGACCTTCAGCGTTTTATGAGTAATATATATACGATAGTGCTTGTATATACCGACTTGAGTATAATTGTGTTGAGTGATATACATTTTTAGGGTTCCGTAGCTTAAAAGAAAAAAAAAAGGAATTCTTATTCTTATAAGTATACAGGTAGATACACGAGGGATCCTTCACTCGTATGTCTGTCTGTCCGTCTGTCTGTTATAGCCAATTTGTTTCAAAATTACGAGATTAAGTGAGTTAAAATTTAATGCTTCTTTATTTTATCAGCCATTAACTGTCCACTGCTGAACATAGGCCTCCTCCTTAGGGGGTTTTGCCAGCAGTTGGCACGATTGGCAGGCGGGTTGGTAACGACATATGTATATGTTTAAAAAGGAACACTGCTGCCCATCCAAACATTTATTTCAAACCTCTTACGATCCATTCAATGTCGGGACCACGCGGCTACTGTAAAAAATTACTTGCCTGTAATATCGCAACCTTTTCTCATTATTAGACAGACATTATAAAAAAAAAATATCACTGTCATACTACTGTATTAAAAATATGATTTGCTAGCTAGAAGTTACAGGAATATAAATATTTTTATATTAATTATAAAACGCATTTAATGTCACCGAGATTTAAAAACGCATTTCTCTCTTCAAATTTGAATCTGAAAACGCGCTAAATTCAACTTTACGTGCCCTTAAATAAAGACTGGCGATTAATAAAAAATATCTGCACTAGAATTAAATTGAAGTGCTGCGGTTTTCACGACATACCCATCTCAAGTACTTTAAATTTAAGGCTTGTTTTAGGTTGTCATGAGCTCTGTGGGTAATAGGAAGAGGGATTACCGTGCTTCAGATTTTAAAGTCCCCTGATTTATTTTTACGAGGCGAACTAAACTAAATTCTATTTGGATTTCGGTTTGTGGATAGCTCGCTCTTCTATTTTCTCTCTCAATCAGGTAAAATATTATTCACCGTGGTATTTTTTATGTCTTTGCTCTAGCTTGGATGGTATTTATTTAAATTTGTAAATTAAAAACGGAGTCGACGTCGTAGCGGGTATTGGGCATAATTATATTTAGAATAGCTATTATATTTAACTATAATTATACTAAATTTGGTTATGGTCCCGGCATAGAATAGGCCACCCTTTCCTTTCCCGTGGGTGTTGTAAGAGCCGACTAAGGTAGGCGAGGGATGGGCGGCAGGCTTCTTCTTAAAATATCCCTAAAGATAAACATGCCTCTATATTCTTGTAACTTTTATCTAGCAAATAATATTTTTTATACAGTAGTTTGACAGTGATATTTTTTTTATAATGTCTGTAAAATAATGAGAAATGGTTGCGATATTACCGGCAAGTAATATTTATATTAATACAGTAGCCGCGTGGTCCTGGCATTGAATGGATTATAAGAGGTGTTCACTTAATGGTCGGATGGGCAGCAGCGTTTAAATTTACTGTGGTGTGGTTACCAACCCGCTTGCCAAGCGAGCCAACTGCTGGCAACCCCCCCCCCCCCACTCAGGGGGAGGCTTATGTTCAGCAGTGGACAGTTATAGACTGATATGTAATGATGATGATATTAAATTTAATTAAACTGTTCATATATACTAATATTATAAAGAGGACAGATTTGATTGTTTGTTTGTATTTTGGATAAACTTAAAATTACTCCACGGATTTTAAAAATTCTTTCATCTATATATATATATATATATATATATATATATATATATATATATATATATATATATATATATATATATATATATAGCTATATAGCTGAGCTTTCTATATTATCAGCAAGTAATATATTAATTTCGAAAAATTTTTCTACATGTGCAAAGCCGAGTTGGATCGCTAGTCCTTTATATATTGACACTAGTCATATCAATGATGATGGGAATTTAATGAATGATGCTTACTTAGGTTCAGATGCAGCGAAGTATGGAGTATATTTATCCTGAAGAAGGTACTTTTAGATTAAGTTAAAACAATTGTCGGAGACTGTACATTTTATTCTTACATTATACATATTACATTATAGTGGTCATTATTTTATTTATAAAGACTATCAGAAGTGGTTGCATTTAAGTAATTGGTTTATTACAGTATCCGGTTGTAATGTAAGTAACTACTTATCAACGTAAAGTCTCGGTTTACTAAATCTTAATTATAGTTAATTACGCACGTTGTTGGACCACCGAGAACAATCGTTGGAATTCAGGGGATTACTGAAATGAAAATCGGCTTAGCAAAGATTAAATATGAATAGACGCGCCGCTGGTGGGGTTACCTAGTGTGAGTTGTGAGAGGAAGCAATTGGAGTAATTCCGCTACCTCTCATGACTTAGACTAACAGAGAGTTCAATTAAATTTGGTTGTATTATATGTTACATTATATATTTTCTAAAACTTTACAGAGACTGCAATGTAGTTTTATTTTTATATTCTTAAAAAAAGAGTTTAAGTGATATTTTTTTTTCTTCTTTTGTCTTTTATAATCCTACAATAACTTCTGATTATATATATATATATATATATATATATATATATATATATATATATATATATATATATATATATATATATATATATATATATATGTATGTATGCTTGTAATATATGTGTACTTAAAGATACTATATTGGAAACACGAAATATAGATATAGTATAATTCTACTTAAAATTGTAATTTTATATATCAATATTTGATTTTATTTAACTAAATAATAAAAAAATACGACGTAAAACAACTATGTAACATAAGTGTCGGAATATAAGAGTTTGACATAAAAACAAAATACTAAAGAATACGAAGTTTATACAAAAAAAAGTATAGTAATTTATTTGAGGAAAAAACATACAATCAAGACAATGAATTTTTATTTTAAACGTAATCTTTTGATAATATATTCATAAAATAGAACTGAAATACACGAGTTATCAATTCAAAAATACGATTCATAATTCATTACAAATATTTGAACGAGAAAGTGTAAAAACAAAGTAGAATTTAAAACTATTTTTTTAATTTGTTTTAATGGTAGCATTACAAGTCTACTCGTATGTATTCGCTACCGCCTATGATTTGCGTCAAATCATAAGCAGAGCGTAGGTAATTGGACCCCGAAGCGCCTTGAGACCTTATAATCCCTCGTTTAAAATTAAAATATCCGATACAAGGGTCTGTGTTCTGCCGACACGTGATAATTATGGCTTTGTGATGGAACAATTACGTAACTTTCGCAGCTCACATGCACATAATGGTTTTACTCTTAATCCAATTTTAATACCCATTTCAGCAATATTGTCAGTGTTGAATTCTTAGATTATGA